GAGAAAGTATCCGTACACTATCAAATCACCTTAAAGATAAGTAAGTGGTTTGGTTATAAGAAAAATAAGAAAAGTTTTGTACTATAACATGTTAAAATACTGATAATCAAAAAGTTCTTCATATTATTGTGCATATAAGTTATTAAATTATTTTAAAATTCGCATTAAAGTTCTGTGCAGTAACTATGAAGATGTACTTAGGTAACTTATAAGATAATTACAAGTAAATTTTTATAATAAATATTCTTTACTAATCTCACACAAATAATAATTATTATATTTTAATAGGTTAAACTATATTGAAAGAGTAAGATAATTCTTACATTATCCCTGCATATATAATACTCCCTTTATTTCAATTTATGTGATATTTTTTGCTTTTCGAGATTGTCACAACTCCTTTTTCCCGAAGGGATAGGGGATAAAGGAGTTTTTCCAATTTAAGTGACAATAATCGAAATGGGATTATTTATTTATTTCAGAGTCACCACTTGGAATAATTATATGGTGTCCCAAGTCACCGGTTTATTTTAGAATCCCAAATCGAGAAAATTTGACTCAGTTTAAAGTCTGCGAAAACCAGAAGACCATGTAAGGAATTTTGTTAACCCAGGAGAAGGTGTTAGGTATTCGCGGGTTCCGTGGTTTTAGCACGGTCGCTCAACTGTTAATAATTGGCCTAATTATCTGATTTATACGTATTTGAAACCTATTGTGCATCTTTACTTTTAAACCGCTTTTAGTATTTATGGAATTTGTTTGAACAAGTCGCGATGTCACGCACTCGTTTATTTTTTTGTACACATTGCGAATCGCGCCACGTGAAACGCACCCGTGATTTATAACATGTTTATTTTTATTATTATTCGAAGTTGTGGTCGAGTCGCGTGATACACGCACTCGAATTAGAATTTATGTATCGCAATTATGCCACGGGAACCGTACCCATAGTCACGATGATTTATTTATTGCGCGCCTAAAGCAGGCTACGATGTTTATAAGTTGTTTGTGTTTTCCATTGCCACTTTGAATTTACTGTAAGATCCTAATGATGGGTAAATTGACTGGGAATGAATAATGTTTGTAAGGTTTAGGACAAATTTCCTAACCAAGTATACATAAGACGAGAAGATTTTAAAACAATTAACTCTCAAAAGATGTATGCACAACATATGATTTATACGGGATTATGCTGTTGGAGAAAAATTCCATTATGCAAAGGATAGTTTTAACAATTAGTTGCTTTCTTTCTTTTATGGATTGGAGCCAAGTTACGGAATTGCATTAACATGTGGCGTATGAAAATACCATTTGGGCTTGAAGTGGGAGCCCAGGACGATATGTTCTTTTTGAAAGGGCAGCCTGCCCACATGTGATACTACAACTCTTGTTAGGTCAAGTATTAGGCCCAATTCAACCCTAGTAATGATTAAATTGAAACAAAAATTGATACAGATTACATCCACGATTTACAGAAATGATGATTTAAGAATAACAACTGGAATTACACTAGTCGATTGATAATTACAAAATTCCACCATTCAAGCGCCATTAATTTGGTTAATCCATAACCAAACACATCCACTCGAAGTTATTTGCCCCAGAGAAACTGTTTGAATGTTGAAAGCTGTAAATCAAAACAAGGACTACTTCCAGTATGTTTATTTCGATCAATACAAATTCAGCCACCATTTTATGCTTTAAGATTCATGATTTAAAGGAGGAATTCTACATGTTTAAGAATACTGAATACAAAACAACACAAAACACTTTCAATTCCACACACAACAGCAGACAACTACAATTATGTCATGTATTTCATTAATTCCAAAACAGTATCACACTATTGAGGGATCGAACAGTACCTCGGAGAGCCGAAATAGGAAGAATACAATGATAAAGAAGAAGGAAGCATATCTGTAGTTCCAGCGAAGAAACAACAACAAAACAGTCCCTTAAGAGCTTGATTTGACTTTGAAAAAAAACTAGGAATTGAAAGGCCAAATCAGCAGAAATCAACAACTCTTTGAAATCGGTGTCTCAAGCTATTTTCTTCTATTTTTTTTCGTTTTTCTTCTGGCTCTTGAAATTTGTTTTTAGATCTAGAATCCGATTTTGGGAATAGTTTTCAACTTGCTTTTGAAGGGGAGATGTGTGTATATGTGCGCGATGAGAGAAAGAGTGACCGTCTGGGTGAGAAAATGCGTGTATGGATGTTGATGAGAGAGTGAGGAGGAAGAAGGCGGCGGCTAGGTTTTTTTTCTCTAAGGGGGAGGGGGTCGGATTCTGTTCTCGAGTGTTGATGGAGAGGGGAACTAGGGTGTGTTTTAGAGATGAAGAGGGAATATTGGGCCGGCGGGTAGTGGGCTGGGGCGAATGGAAAGAAAATGGGCCACTAGAAGCACCTGGCCCAAAGCTGTAATGAGACCCCATAACCTTCTCTTTTCTTTCTTTGTATTTTGCAAGACTAATCAATTTATTTAACACTCTTAATTCTAACTAATTTGTAAAATTACCCTAATGACCTATTTTTCTACAATTAACTAATTCATTTAGCTAACAAATGCATGTAGAGTTACTAATATATTTTTTGATATTTTAGTGTTTTACAAATGCAATTAATTATGCAATTAAAATCTAAAAATGTAAAGATTCAAAATATTTTTGTATTTTCTTTAGGATTTAAAATGCAACTTAAAAATGCATCAAACATGAGTACGTGCAAAGCAAACTAAGTAAAAAATATAGAAAAATAATTTAAAGCTATTTTGGAATCTTTTAGGAGTAATTTTATATTAGGGCAAAAATTAGGTGCTCACAAAGATTCAAATTTTTTAACTTTGACCGTGTATTTTATCATAGAATATTTAAGTTTTTAAAATAAAATACATATATTTAAAAACTACATAAAATGTAATATAAGTCAAAATTATTTAATAATTTCTAATATTTAAAAGGTATATATAAAAAGTTATGGTCATAGAATAATTTGTTTGACTCTCAAAATCTAAACACATTCACGTAAACTGAGACAGGGAGTAGTAATTAATTAATTAAAACTCAAGTAAGACTTTGCTTAGATTGAATAGTGTTGATTGTACAGAGAGAAAATAACGTTGTATGGCCACTCAAAGATTTTATTAGCCCATATTTTCATTAGTGACCCGAAATGGCCTTCCGACCCAATTTACTTGTAACTTGTAGCCATTGTCTATTTCAAATGCATTTATCTTCCCAGGACCATATTTATTCTCACTATTCTTATCTTTTTTTCATTCTATCCAATTCCAATGCAGAAGTCGTGGGGTTTTCTAGTCAAGCTTCTTCTTCTTCTTCTTCTTCTTCTTTGAGTCATAATAGTGTTTTGTGAGTGAAAATCTTTTACAGTGAGTATCCGATGGGGAAAAATGATACTGTAAAAATAATAGCCGAAAAATGTATAAAAACTGTATATTTTTTTTATATATATATACATTCTGTATGTTATATACAAATATTATACAGTTTTATACACTTTTCGACTACCTGATGTAATTAGTNTATGTATAAAAGTTGTATATACATTGTATCCTAAGTTTGGCAATGTACTTTGTGTATATTGAGTATATTCCGAACGTGTTTGTGTATCCAAAGCATATATTAGATTTTTTTTTATACATGATTATATAGTGTATATATACTATATAATAGTTATATATAGTATATACAAATTATATACATAATTTATACATGATTGATACATATTATGCAATTGTATTTTTGTATAAAAATTGTATATAAACTGTTATATGTGTATAGAAGATGTATATTTACAGTTAAAAGTTTTATATACAGTATTTTCAGAGTTTGATAATGTATTCTTAGTGTATTCCGAGCGTATTGTATATTTTAAGTGTATAAAAAATATATATATTGTTCAACAATGTATAAAAAGTGTCTATACACACTACGCTAGTGTATAATATGTATAGTACGTGTGCAATCTATACATCACCTTCTTCCTCTTCTTCTTATATCATGGATATTTTTGCTTGTGCAATATTATATTTTTCTAGATTGTATCACTAAAAATTTAGTTCTTTTTTGTAAAAGATAAAAAAAAGATTGTAATTTATGTATAATAGGAAGAAGTTTGGTGGTTGTGGAGAAGACAGTTGTGTTTCTTCTTCTTTTATGTAATAATTTTTTTGTATGAATTCTCAGTCTTTCACTTTTTTCTATTTTAATTAATTCTTAAAAGTTGTAGTTTTGCATAAAAATTGTATATACACTCATATAAAGTTGTATATACATGGTACTTGTATATTAATTTTATATGAAAATTGTAAAGATACTGTTATACAATGTTAAAACTATATATGCAATGTATACTAAGTTTGGTAGTGTGTCATTTGTGTATATTGAGTGTATCTGAGTGCGTGTGTATCTAAAGTATATCTTGTATACATTGTGAAATGTATATCTCTCTCTCTCACACACACAAAATCTCGTTATCTGTGTGTATTTTTTCTTTTTGAGTTGAGTTTTTAAGTAAGTTTTTCTCTTTTGAAAAATATTTTATTTTTTTGAATTCACTAGCTTTTTGGACTTTTGACCGAATTGTTTTGTTTGTGTAATTAAAAACTTATTTGACTGAAATAGTTTTATTTTACATTGCTTTGGACTGAAGATATATATTTTTATTACTGTAAATGAGATTTCTAAGATAAAAAATTACTTGAAATACTTGATATGGGTTTAGAATGCGACTACTGGGATTTTTATTTTACTGGCTAGCTAGTATAATTAGTTTTTAGTTTCAAATTACATAATAGATTTGTGGGCTAGAACTTGTCAAAAGTTTCAGACGAGTGGCTAAAAGTGAAATTGCCTCTTGTACAGAGGCACCCAATCCAAATGGCCCACTTTAGAAGTCCAAAAATTTATCGCATCTGCCAAAGTTGACACATTTTTTCAGTTACTTTGCTTCCGAGGTAAGTATTGCAAAAACATCCTTTTCCAAATTTGCTTCTTAATTCTATCAGATTACGACATTACTTCTTCGTACCTTCCTCGTTAAGCAAAACATTTTTTCGACAAGTTTCAGGTTCAGTTCTCGTGTCTTTCACACAATTGAACTATTCTCTGCATATGCTCAGCAACTTAAAAGGTAAAGTATGATCACTTCAATTTGGTTATAGAAAAGAAAAACATTTATCGTTCTGTTCTCATTTCATTCATACAGTTTAAATCTTGCCAGCAGTTGCTCAGGGGAATTGAATGTAAAATATGAGTATTTGAGTTCAATTATAGGTAAAAAAAAAGGATTTTTTACTGCGAATCATCATCGTTAATTTCATATGTATGGTCTCCATAAACTGAGTTTTTGTGGTGATATCAGGAATGTACACTTATTTGTATCAATTATGTGATTAGTCCGCTAGATTTAACTTATATATACGCACCCAAGAGTATGGCCTAGCGGTCATTGAAGTGGATTGAGAACCATGAGCTCTCAAGTTCAAATTCCAACCGATGCAAAAATACTAGGTTATAGTTATCCGTTATCTGTGTACCAAGGTTATCAAAAAAAGGAAAAAAGATATTTGTGTATTTTGGCCTGTTGTAGTAGGTAACTTGCCATATTTTTCAGGTTGCTAATAATTAACTTTTAGGTAATGTAAAAGTTTTGTTACAATGTTAGTGTTTAGAAGTTAAACTCTTTATTTTAGCACACTTGGAACTTCTTTTAGGAAAAGAAAAGAATTTTTTCTAATAGTTTGACTGATCCAGATAAGTTGCCAAATGTGATTTGGATACTTTCTGATGTATTGGATTTGATACAAGATTTATCTTGTTTTCCCGTTTTCTGTTTATTCTTGATGGATTTTTGCCAATAGTGCCATCCTCCTTGCTGGTTGTATAAAGGGGTTGTCCCGTGCTGCTGTGTTCTTTTAAGCTACAGAGTAAAGGAACTAATGTAGTCGAATAAAATAGCTGGGGGATTACATGTTTATTGTGCCAAAATATGAGGTGCAGGGGGGTGATTATCACCCCAGGGAATGCCCTAGCGCCTTTGACAAGCACTCTACAACCCACCAGCGTTTGTGAAAAGTAAAACTCCAAAAGTGACCTTCTTGTTCGAAACTTCGCATAAATATTTGCTTTTGGGAGAAGTATGTAGATATTTGCGTATGGGTTTAATTTTTATCCATTGGTGATGTAAAATCATTTACACAATCAAGTGATTAAACTACACCAATTGTGTATTTGAACGGGTATACTCTGATTAGGAGTCTTGATTAACTCTTGGTTAAAAGTCATATAAACTCCTTCAATTCTTCAATTTGGTGGTTATACGATGTCTTTTATCTTTGGTATAGTATTTAAGTACTGACAAAGTTGCTTTGTGGCTAGTTGTAGTTATGGGGTTGGATGTTGTGGCAAGATTTGGGGTAAGCATGTTGGCAGATGATGATCAAGTCTCTGTGGATTCCATAACTCTGTTTGTGGCTCTTCTTTGTGGATGCATTGTGATTGGACATCTTCTTGAAGAGAACCGTTGGATTAACGAGTCCGTCACTGCTCTTGCTATCGTGAGTCTTTTTTCTTTACTAAGTGAATGTTGTATCTATGCACGTATATAAAGGGCTTACCTCCTGTACCAGCTAGAATAGGGAATGCAATCAGTAGGATTGAACTCTGCACCTAAGTGGCACAGAGTAATGTTGTAACCACTGAACTGCAATTTTAGCCCGTGCGGACATACTTGCATAATATTACCTCATATACGAGCTACAAGAGGGAATGTCGTTAGTAAGATTTGAACTCTACACCTAAGCGGTGCAGAGTTAAAGTTAGAACCACTAGGCTGCATCTTTAGTCTGTGCACACACATCACACATATACATGCATAATATTGCCTCATCTTCGACCTAGAAGAGGGAATGCCCTTGTAAGATTTAAACTCTACACCTAAGTGGTGCGGTGTAAAGTTGTAACCACACCTAAGTGGTGCAGAGTAAAGTTGTAACCATTCGACTGCAACTTTAGTCTGTGCAGATACATATGCGTGCATGAATCATGATATTTATTGGGAATTTTCTTCACTACATTTTTGTTGTGAACTATGCTTTTGGCTTTTGCTGCAACGGATGACCTTTGGTCGTTTTGGTGGCAGGGTTTAGGTACCGGAGGCATCATTTTGTTAACTACTAATGGAAAGAGCTCTCATCTCTTAGAATTTGATGAACAGCTCTTCTTTATTTATGTTCTACCACCCATCATATTTAATGCTGGGTAAGTTGTTTTTGTCATGCCCATGTTTTTTGCATACTATAAGCTCTGTTCTCCCCAATTTGAACATGTCAGAGAAAGAAGACTTGTTTATTCTTTCCCCGCTTTGATTGTGTGATATATGGTATAGCTTCAGAATTAATCTCACCAGTTCTTTTTGGCGTCTTTCTTTTTAACGTGTCTATGCATTTGACTCAGGATGTTCACCTTATTGCCTGCTGCTGTTATTGGATAACTGACAAATAGACAGAAGAGAAAAAAGAAAAGAAAAAAGAAGTGTGCCATTTCTATATTCTAGCAAGTTACATCTAATGTACTTGATGAGACTGACACATAAGTATTTTCACTTTATCAGTTTCCAGGTGAAAAAGAAGCAGTTTTTCAGGAATTTTATGACCATTATGTTGTTTGGTGCTGTTGGCACACTAATATCTTTCAGCATCATATCATTTGGTATGCCCTGGTTTCTCAGTCTTGCTCTTCAATCAACTTAAAAAAGATAATGCCTTGCGTGAAGTGAGCTTAAGCGAGGCTTTTTTCCACATATTCCAATGTTTAGTGAGCTGAATTTGAATTCTCATATTAAATTTTTGTGGCCTTTTTTGTTATGGCGGTAGCAATCAGGGACGGGGAGTTGGTCTTAGGTTAGAGTTAGTTGAGATCCTGAATTGGTATCGAAAGCTGTGAGTTAGCATAGAAGGACAGGTCATTGTGTTAGCATGTAGTACAACAACAACAACAACGACCCAGTAAAATTCCACTAGTGGTGTCTGGGGAGGGTAGTGTGTACGCAGACCTTACCCCTACCCCGAGGGAGTAGAGAGGTTGTTTCCGAAAGACCCTCGGCTCAAGAATACAAAAAGACAAAAAGACAAAAAGAGACAATATTAGTATCACCCCATAAATCATAAGAAAAGTAACAACAACATGGGAACAAGAAGATAGATGCAAAGCAAAAGCGATAGCCAGTAAATAGACCCGGCACTATGAGAAACGAAAGAGTAGTAAGACACAACATTGCCACTCACGACAAAAACCCTACCAGACTAGCCTCACAAAGGTACGAAGAAAGTAAAGATTCAACTACCTCCTAGCCTACAACCCTAATCCTCGACCTCCACAAATTCCTATCATGGGTCATGTCCTCGGAGATCTGAAGCCTCGCCATGTCCTGTCTAATCACCTCTCCCCAAAACTTCTTAGGCCGCCCTCTACCTCTTCTCATGCCCTCCACAACCAGCCGCTCACACCTCCTTACCGGAGCATCTGGGCTTCTCCTCTGTACATGCCTGAACCATCTGAGTCTCGCTTCCCGCATCTTGTCATCAATAGGCGCAACACCCACCTTCACCCGAATATCATCATTCCTAATCTTGTCCATCCTAGTGTGCTCGCACATCCACCTCAACATCCTCATTTCTGTTACTTTCATCTTCATGTTAGCATGTAGTAGAGCAACCTAAAAAAGTAGTTAAGGATTTCGAAGTTTACTTTAATCAGATTACTTCACCAAGACATTGTTCTTTCCCTACAATAATGTCATGTTCTTTGAGATGCTTTTAGACAATGTTAGAATGCAATTTTGCACATTTACGGATTCACGTGATCTTGAATGTGTTTGGCGCAACTTGTAAAATGTATCTGTGTTCTGTGATCTAAAGGTGCATTCATGTCGGGTGCTTACTTGCAGCTGTTGTGATTAACGTTATTGTATTTGTATATTCCAAATGTCTCGTCCTTTTTGCCACTGTGTAAAGCAAATCGGTTTCCCACAGCTTCTTCAACATGGTTGAATTTTTCACTGTATAGAAGCCAAAAAGACTTTACTAGTCAGTAGTTACAGGTTCCACCCATGCTTCATTTAGTCACTCCTTTTTAAGTTGTTCACTGTTTTATGTTTATTTGTTATATCGTATCACTCTCGCGATCGGGCTAACTAGAAATATTTTTTATTAAGGCGCAAAGGAGTTATTTGGGAAGCTTGATATTGGTTTTCTGGAGCTACGAGATTATCTCGGTAATAATCTTTCCTCTTCTTCATATTGTAGTTGATGTTTCAGGTTATCAATTGTAGATGTTGTAAGTTTGGTTGTTAAGACCTTATTTGTTTAAGAGTAAGCAAAGGAGAAAAATCACTAATAGGAGGGTAAGCCACAAAAATATGGAAAGAGTGCAATTTCCTTTCTGTGCTTTCTATCTGATTGACCTGAATTTCAAAATAAATTCCATCGGCGTGCCATAACCTTGTAAAAATTATTTTCTTGATCCGAATTTGAGGGTCAAAGAACCAATCCTTATATAATCATTTCATTTTATGAAATGCGTAAAGTGTTGACCTCTATCTTTTTCATGGTTGGCATCTTTCTTTAAATTGATTGACTCTCACTTCTGATGATTTCAAATTCTTATTCTGTAGCGATTGGAGCTATTTTTTCAGCAACAGACTCTGTTTGCACACTGCAGGTACGGATTTCCGCCAAAAGTTGCAGATGGATTATGCGAGTAAAAGAGATATGAGATAGCAACTTATGTGAACTGAATGGTTTAAGTATAATCACAGGTGCTTAATCAGGATGAGACACCTCTACTCTACAGTCTAGTCTTTGGCGAAGGAGTGGTAAATGATGCAACATCTGTGGTGCTTTTTAATGCAATCCAGAAGTTGGACCTCTCCAACATCAACTCAAGGGTTGCCTTATCGTTCACTGGAAATTTTTTCTACCTGTTTCTTGCAAGCACTTTGCTGGGAGTTTCGGTAAGTAGCATTCTTTCTTGGTTTATGTTTTACGCACATTGGCCACTCCTTCACACCTTTGTCCCATAAGAGTTTGGGCTATGTCTCAGTCCTAGTGTGGCTAATCATCCTCTCGGACCAGCCACTAATTATCGCTTTCTTAAACTATTTCCTTATCAATGCGGATCTCCTTTTGCTCCTCAACCTACAGGGTATTAACAGCCTTCTCCCGTTGTTGTTTCCCTCTCAAGAACAGGTTCTTACACGTTACTCACCCGTCCTCCATTGGAAATACCACTTACCGTTCGACTTGCATGTGTTAAGCATGCTTCCAGCATTCATCTTGAGCCAGGATCGAACTCTCGATGAGATTTATAGTTGCATTACTTATAGCTTCCTTGTTCGTAGACAAAGCAGATTCAGATTTGTCTTTCCTTCCAAGACATAGCTTGTATCCATGCTCTTCATATTCGACTTGCTTCACGACTTTGTTCTGAGAGATGGATTCCATTTCTTTTATCAGAGATGGCCAAAGAGCTGACACTATTTGACTGTTTAACATTGTTTTGGTCACAGAAGAGTTTGTGTTCATCCGCAAGACATCTACCATTTCCTATTTAATATTTTTGTTGTTTTCTGTTTGAGAAAGTCTGAATATTTTCTATCTCCTAATGGAAACTAGTTGTATGAAATCTTGCTCTTAAATGCAGGTAGGGTTGCTAAGTGCGTACCTAATAAAAAAGATATATCTTGGCAGGTATGCTTATCTTTCTTTCATGTTCTTTCTTTTAATTTAATTAATTACTGTAATGTTTTATTATTATATGCCTTTTGGTTGCCATCCAGTTATTGTTCAACCCACATCACCCTTCAGTCTGTGGCTTACCTGTCAAAACAGCAAAAACTTCTTTGACTTATTGGCTCTTAATAGCAAAGCCTTTTTCTTATTTATGGTTGCTTTTCCTACTATAGTAGACTCAGTGTAATCGGTGATATACATGAAGATTAAATGCCTGAAAAATTTCCCTTTTCCTCAGAGAATTAAGCAGAATTTTCAAATACGCCAGAATAATTTGTAGTCCTTGTGAAATAATTGGTTTCCTAGGCCTTATTAATTATTGAGTTAGACGTTACCATTCTGATATATCACGAACTATTCAAGGTAGCCAGAGTCCTCGTGGGATCTGATTTTTATGTAGTCATACTGATTTTGAACCTAGTGTATAGATTATTCAGGAAAAGATTTTAACGACATGGTATGACTAAAGCTTCTTAAAATGTTTTCGTCAGATATCAATGTGGGTATTTATAAGTGTTCTGTATTTGTGACTTACTAGAAGCCGCCCTTTCCACTTGCAGGCACTCAACGGATCGTGAAGTTGCTCTCATGATTCTCATGGCTTACCTTTCATATGTGATGGCAGAAGTAAGTTTCTGTACGATGTGAACACCTTAATACTTATTATCTCCACTCTTCGTAGTTTGTGTGATTATTGATCATGATAATTATCCCTACTTTTCAGCTGTTTGACTTAAGTGGAATACTTACAGTATTTTTCTGTGGGATTGTCATGTCACACTATACCTGGCATAATGTTACCGATAATTCTAAAGTGACAACTAGGTAAGTGTACTCATGTTAATCACTTACTCAGAGTCTCTTTATAACTTGGATTCAAATTTTATCCTTGTTTAGGAACTTGTGAAAGAACTGTATCTGTGTGTGTTTCTTAGTTTAACTAATTTTTCACAGGCATGCTTTTGCAACACTGTCATTTATTGCTGAGATTTTCATCTTCCTTTATGTTGGTATGGATGCTTTAGATATTGAGAAATGGAGATTCGTCAAAAACAGGTACAATCTCATATCCATTTTTCTTTTATTCCTAAAAGTAAGATATTCATTGGTCCTCTCCTGAAACTTTTGTACCAATTATTTTGTAAAAACTATTTAACGTAAAATGTGTGTGGGATTTCCATTTATTTGGGAATTTTAATTTATATTAATTCTTGTTTTGCGGATTATTCATTCCATAGTCCTGGAAAATCTGTTGGAGTGAGTGCCGCGCTGCTTGGTCTGGTTCTGGTTGGAAGGGCGTGCTTTGTGTTCCCGTTGTCTTTGTTATGCAATTGCTTGAAGCGATCTAAACATGACAAGATTGGCTTCAAACAGCAGGTTATATCTCAACTTTCTCCTAATTTCTTGCTGTTGTATTGCCAAACCTCAGTATTGGAAACCTAATAAATGTTCTACTTCACAGGTTACAATATGGTGGGCTGGTTTAATGCGAGGATCTGTCTCTATGGCATTGGCTTATAATCAGGTGTATATTGGAACTTATCAGCTTTTCTTCTAAATCTTATTAGCTATTTTAAGCTTGTTTACCCCTTTCTCCTGAAGGGAATATTTCGAGAAAAGTATTTTTTTGTATTTTAAATGTGATGTTGCTTTATTGAGGAATGATTTCTGGTGTGCAGTTTACTAGGTTTGGCCACACTCAACAACCAGGAAATGCAGTTATGATCACCAGCACAATTACAATTATCCTCTTCAGTACAGTGGTAAACATCATCTTTCTTTTGACCAGAGCTTGAAGTATCTTTCATAAATTTAGAAAGAATAAAAAACTTCACTTAATTTCACTTTTTATATATATAGATCTCCATGTGACCTATAGGTCACGGGTTCGAGCCGTAGAAGCAGCTATTAATGTTTGCATTAGGGTAGGCTGTCGACGTCACACCCCTAAGGGTGCGGCCCTTCCCCAGACCAGTGGCGGATTCAGGATTTTAATGTAATGGGTGCTCGACTAGTTTTAATTATGGTAAACACATAATATACATATAATTGATACCAGATATCTGTATAAGCTTTGATGGATAGAGTTATCTCATATCTTATTGCTAATGAGAGAGAATACATATCCCATGATATTAGTTAGGTGCGTGCACAAGAAAAAAAAAAAATTTCTTTTAAAAAAGGGAAAAGGTAACAAGAATAAAAGAAAATAAGGAAAACCGCAAAAGGAAAAAGAACGGAAATAAAGAGAGGATCTTCTAAAGGTAAAAAAAAAATGCTTCAGTCAAGTTTTGATTGTCCGACATAAAGAGCTAAGAGTGACCTTAAACCCTCTCTCAAAACCAAAGCACCCAGCCCCAAGTTTTGCTCGTGGGTGCTTATTGTCATTATATAGTTTCCAAGAATTTCATATAAAATATACCGTCTTGAACTCTTAAACAATGGGTGCTTCAGCACAATGAGTGCTTCAGCACCCACTCTATTGAACGTGGATCCTCCCATGCCCCGGACCCTGCGTGAACACGGGATGCCTTGTGCACCGGGCTGCTTCTTTTATATATATAGATCACCCATGTATACTCCTCATTGAGCGTGGCCGTCCCTTCTCCTTTGTTTTGACATATTGTAGCTATTTGGTAGTTGGAAAAAACATATGGCCAACTTCCCTGCTTACTTACTGGTGTTGGCTTCCCCGGTGTTATATTTACTGGATTCCATAAGTATGTTATACTAGCCCTCGCCCGGAAATGAGCTAAAAGGCGGTTATCACAGTGGACAAATTCTCTAACATGCTCCATATTTGTATTCATTCATTGGAAGGCAAGAGGTTGTGAGTTCGAGTCACCCCAAGAGCAAGGTGGAGAGTTTTTGGAAGGAGGGAGCCGAGGGTCTATCGGAAACAGCCTCTCTGCCGTAGGGTAGGGGTAAGGTCTGCGTACAAACTACCCTCCCCAGACCCCACTAGTGGGATTATACTGGGTTGTTGTTGTTGTTGTTGTTCATTGGAAGGCAAACTCTGCGTTATTTGTTTTATAACAGCTATAACAACTACGTCCCTGTCTCAAATAAGTCGGGATCGGCTATATGAATTATTACCAACCATGTTACTCCATGTAAAACTCATCTCCGGCCAATATTATACAAGATAAGAATAAAAATTAAAATAAAAAGTTCTAGAAGTTCTTCCTTATATTGACACTTAATTTTTATTTAGCTAAATCTAATTTTTTTGAACCCTTTTAGGTGTTCGGATTGATAACAAAGCCTCTTGTAAGGTTCTTGTTGCCTTCATCACAAGATTTCAGCAGCATGATTTCTTCTAAACAATCGTTCGTATGCCCACTTCTCACCAACAAACAAGAACCTGAAGCTGAGATGGGAAATGTTGATTTTCGTCGACCAGCCAGTTTGAGCATGCTGCTGAAGAAACCTTCTCACACCATTCATTACTATTGGAGAAAGTTCGATGATGCTTTTATGCGGCCCTTATTCGGAGGCAGGGGATTTGTGCCAGATGCGCCGGAGTTATCTAAAGGCGGATGTGATCAATATTGACAGTCTAAAAGCAGAAGAGTTTCTTGAATTGCTGGTATATATGCTGTCAAGTACCTTACTAACTTCAGTGTCACAGTTCTTTAACTACGATATTCTGATATTGTAGATAATCAGCCATTTTGCATCGTTAGTTACTTACACGGTTGTATATAGTACAATAGTTAAATGTGTAATTATGATTTAACAGGGCATTGTGCATAGATCTAGACTGTTTTAGGTTTGTGGATGAAGAGTTTTACTTGTGAATAGTTCAAAAGCGAAAACATTATCAATGAGTTATTGTGGCTTGCATTTTGATGTTAGTCCGTGTTTGATGCTTACGCTGTTGCCCTATGATCTAAATCTACTTGATATGTTAAAGGGATGATAGGTATAGGATAAGGGTTAATTTCACTTATGGTCATCCAACTTATCATTTATTTTACAAAAGTCACTTATCTATTTTTCATCAGTCACTCAACTTTATCTTTGTAACTTAAAAGTCATTCTAGTTCAAAGCCTATAAAATATCCAATAAAAAATATGACATGGCATTACATTTAACTAAAAAATCTAACAATAATGCCATATAAGCTAAAATAGACCATATCTAAGTTAGACCCATTTCTTCCTCAGCCCGATTTCGGTCGGTTTTTTGAATATTAGTTTTAATTTATTTATATGAAAACTGACCGAATAAAAAATAAATTTCGCGGGATTCTAAAATAGTTTCTCGCATTTTTGCGCCAAAAAAAAAAATGACCGAAGTCGGTCGGTTTCGTAAAAAAAAAATATATATATTTTGGAAAACCGACCGATTTCAATCTCACATAACATATAAAGGTATCACTAACAGACAAGAACAACAAGCTAATAAGAACATATTTTTCACAAATTACTATTCTATTAAAGTCAAAATATTGGTAAAAAACACCCATAATGAAATTGCATAGTAGAAGTTCACTACTAAAAATTCGGCCAAAACCGATCGAAAAATCGACCGAAGTTGGCCGGTTTTCCAAAATATTTTATTTTTTAATTTTTTTTACGAAACCAACCGATTTTGGCGCAAAAATGTAGGAAACTATTTTTAGAATCCCGCGAAATTTATTTTTTAAGAAGCCGACCGAAATCGGTCGGTTTTTCATATAAAATAAATTAAGACTAATATTAAAAAAAAACGACCGAAATCGGGCTGAGAAAGAAATGAGTTTAACTTATATATGGTCTATTTAAGCTTATGTGGCATTATTGTTATATTTTTTTAATTAAATGTAATGCCATGTCATATTTTTTATTGGATATTTTATAGGTTTTGAACTAGAATGACTTTTAAGTTACAAATGTAAAGTTAAGTGACTTTTAAGTGATGAAAAATAGATAAGTGACTTTTGTGAAATAAATGATAAGTTAGATGACGTTCAGTGAAATTAACCCGTATAGAGAAAGCGTCGAATCTAACAGAACTTTTCAAAATGTGAGTAAAAAAATTACTTGTACACGTTAGGATTTGAGAATTGGGAGTCGTGCCTTACCTTGGTGGTTAGGGTGCACTAACCGGTTTTGTAAGAGCGATTTACTACCAAGTCGTATTATTGGGAATAACAAGAGCATCTCGTAATACTCAATGTGATAGTGGTACTATTAGAGTTAGCTTCATCTCATCTCGAGCAAGTGTCGTGGTCAAGTGGGGTGACAAACGTCAACGAAAATGCTATTGATTCAAGTGGGTGAGAGTGATGCTCAAGTGTACATCGGACGAGAGAGGGAGGTATGAACATGCTATCTCTCATCAGCCTTGGTATATCGTCCACTAAAACTTGGACATATAAGAAAAACATATTACGAGTATAGTATATTCTTAGAAACTGCGAAGATAGGGGATGCTCATTTATTTATGCTTTGACATCTGTATTTCGAGCGACTCCTAGTAATTCATGAATGGACTTTTAGTACTAATATTTTCAAAAGAACAACATCAATTATATGAAAGTTCTTCGAAAATTAAGAAAACATAACTTGAAGATGAACACATCTCAGTGACACTTTCTTATTTTTATTTTAAACCTTTGTCACTCCTTTTTTTTTCATTTTTAACTTGAATTATGAAGGACAATATACCTTTCCATATTACATGGACTCTCAATTTCCTAAAAGAAGAGATATTACATCATACATCTAGAAAACAATGTTACATGCCTAAAGCTCTTGCAATCTGTACACCTACTTCAACTGCAAATTTTTTTGCATGCTTAAAGTAGAGAAAGTTTGCACATTAGCATTGGGAAGGCGAGAATAATCAAAAAGTCGAACAACCTCGAATCTCTCACACACATAGAATGGAGAAAAAGCTTTATTCATTCTCGATGTTTGCGTTAAACTAATAAATATATGACATACGCCTTTGAAACAAACTTTTATCACTTAAAAATTAATCGATATTTAGATTTTCTTTATTTTTATATATTATTGATTAAAATATATTTTTGAACATATCATTAAACGTAATGGGCGTTTGGTCTAGTGGTATGATTCTCGCTTTGGGTGCAAGAGGTCCCGAGTTCGATTCTCGGAACGCCCCTCAATAGTTTTGTTATCATTTTTTCATGCCCTTTTTTCACTTTTATTTGGAGCTAATATGGTCCTTATTTTAATACAAAATAAAAAAATTCAGTTGTATAACTTGTTTCATCATTTTAATAAAAACTTAAAATTTTCAGTTGTATAACTTGTTTCATCAGTTTGGATTTTGTTTCCATTTTTATATTGCTCAAATCAGTCAATCTTTAGTAAAATATAACTAAAATGGAAAATCTAATTCTTCCTTTTCAGGATTAACAATGTAAAGTATAAAATATATGTGCTGAAATTTCATCCAAATATGAAATAATTCTTATCTGAAAAAATGATAAACGAAATTTGCTTTCCTTATTAGAAAATATGAAAATTATCTTAAGAAATATATAAAAAGATAGGGCGACATAGATTACATTATGATGTTAATGAAAAAGAGAAAAAGTGAATAAACTCGATAGAGGGAAAAAAAGAGGACTTTAAATGATTAAAAATGTGTTAATTAAACATTTCATGACATTAGTGCAAAACTAGTTTTCTTTCAAATAGAAGTTTTGCAAATTAATTAATGATGAAAATTACAAAGACATAATATATTTTTGCAAAAAAGCGCATAAAAATTATAATGTTTGGTGCATATGCTACTAAGAAAATATTCCAATCATTTCACTACACTCTATTCAACTTACAATATTTATGAATTTATAGACGATATTGAGTGTTCTATGACCACCAATGTATGTATTAAATTCAAAAATTCATGATTGTGTCCTAAAGTTCAATCCTGAAATTTGAACTGTCTTCAAGCTTGTAAATCAGATTTCACGTTTGTATATTTTTATTATGTCGAATAATTAAAGCCAACAATTTGAAGTTAAATTTCTGTCGTTGGTTAAGATGAAAGCAGTATAACTTTTATTGTGGAAAGTGTATATGGATGGAGTTAGGTCAATTACCGAAACATGTATATATATATATCCAAAAATATTTATTTTTTCGGTTAATATAACGAAAACGGCTGTAAAGTATCATTTTCCATAAATATAATTTGTATACCTTGGTTGCAACTTAAATAGCAGCCCAAAGACGGACATTCTATAAGCCAGTCCCTTCTAATTTCCCTCCAAAAGTTTGCCGCTTTTTCTATTTTTATTTATTTTTTGACTCCTCCATTTCCTGTCAAAAGACTCAAAACCTCATTTTTGCCATTGATAAACCTCACGTCCTCACGTACTACACTATATTCGGCTTTCTTATATTCCATAGGAAGCTCGATTATTCCGGTTTCTGCAATTTAATTTTATCTTTCGAATTTCCATTTCCAATCGTGTATTATTCAGGTAAAAATTTATTTTCGTTACTATTTAACTTATATCGTGAACCAGTACTTTACTGTCCTTTCTTTAATGGTTTTTTTTTTCCATTTAGTCATGATTTTATTTATTTATTTTGCACAAAATGATTATTTAGTAGATGTTTGTTGATAATGATCCTGATGAAGATAAAAATAGTTGAAATTTTAACATGATCGTATGTATAAGTTTTTGAATTTTTGAATTTCTGTTTTTGATTTTGCACGAACATTGAAAAAAAAAATAAGGTTTTGGCTCCTTGCATGATATCTAGGTATTTGAAATGGATTGGCAAATGAGTTTGAAGTACAGTGCAGATGCTTAATTTAGCTTTCAATTATTTACAAACTCTATGAATTTGTTAGAGATTAAGAGGAATTATGGATGTTCCTCAAATCTTCCATATTTAGTGTGTCCTCACAACCCAACCAATCACCTCAAAAAAACAAAAAACACACAAAAAAAGAAAAGGATGAACCAATTTATGTTAATCAAGGAATCAACTACTGACTCAATGCCCATTTTTTTGGGTAGTTGCAGTCAATTATATTCGTCCTATATTAAAAACATAAACGTAAAGGCGGATTTAGGATTTAAATTTGATGGGTTCAACCTTTAAAAGTCTTAGCCCTGAACTTATTTTAGTTTTGAAATTATGGGTTATTTGTTAAAATTTAGTGTCTTTTCACACAGATATTCATGTTCCAAGTCCAATTGCACCCCTAGCTAATAAGCTACATCTACTACTGTATAGACACACACACATACATTCATTCATTCTGCTCTATTTATGTCCATTTCATCTTAGAAGTTTTATACATGATCTTGTGATCAGATAGTAAGCGAAAAGCTCTGCAGAATCGGAGAGAATCGGAGCAGAATGGAAGCTGCGAATGCGTATACACTTCCCTTGGATGATACTGTTAACATTGAGAGTCCTACGTTTGGAATGGAGAACCTTGATTCTCCTGCAAAGATTTTGGATATCCCTGATTGTGTTGAAAATGAGAATTCTTGTTTATCGAACGACTCTGAGGAAGAGGTTGTCCTTGACAGTGACGATGAAAGAATGCACTGTGCTGAACTGGAAAGTGTCTCAAAGTGCAGATCTTCTGATGATACAAGGTATACAAAGCGGTCGGATAAGTGGAAACTCTCACCGGTTTCCGAACGAACCTACGTGGGTAAGCATTTGGCTTATGAACATTACCTATTTACCTTTGACTAAATTTAATTTGTCCAACTAATGATATATGGTTTCTATGATCATCTACTCATTTGGAATCCTACTTAAGCTCTCTAATAGCATCTTCCTAGCTTAAAGTGCTCCCGTTAGCAGTAGCTCAATACGCTAGCAGCTGTAAACTTTTCAAGGAGGACAACTTATTGTATAGGTT